TGAATTTCTCACACTTCTTCCATGGTCCAAAAAAAAATATTCTAAGTCAAATATATATGAATTATTTTTAAAGAAATTACCCGTCTCTTTAATGGATTTTCAGCTATTTCTAGTTTTTCTTTAACTTTTTTTTTTTGGAAAAAATCAAAAGAAAAGTATATATATATTACTCTTAAATTCATGTCTAACTAACTTTCTTAAAAATGTGTCACATCCGAAAATTCATTTATTTTTATGACAATATTTATCTATCCAGTATTATAAGACAACAGAACTAATATTTCAAGTCATCCTCATTCTATTAGTTTTTGGAGGCCCAAAATTGAAGATTTGGTTCTTCTTTATGGGCTTCCTACTTTCACTCCTTTATAAGATTGACAACCCGAAGAGAAAAGAGAGAGATACACTATGATCCACCCGAGATGATCAATAATAATAACATACTCAATGTAATTGTACAAATAGAATCTAGAAGGATGGTGGACTGTTCCGATAGATCCTTAACTCAAGTGGAGCATACCAAAAACAAGTATGATTGTAAGAGAGATCCACCTTGTGAAAATGTAATGAACTAAACAAGTTTGTTACTTTGAAAAATGTAAAATCATTTTTTTTTAAAAAGAAGAGAAGATGAGAAACACTATTATATGAAACAAGAAATGTAAAGAGAAAAGATCTAACTTTCTTCTATCTTCCAAATGTGAATATTCAAATGTACATAGTTAATTATCATTAAATTCAATGTTTCTATAGGTCTTAACGACATTTACAAAGAGTATTAAAATATAATTGTCATTAGTAATTATCTCTAATTTATATATTTAAGGACAATTAAGCTATTGTCGTTAATTAATTGTTACTTAAACTTATTTTTGATGTAGTGGTTATTGTGCATATAATAAAGAGAGTCCGGAGTCTAAAGGGCAAAAAAATTGCCAAAAATTTCAAAGGGGCACATCAATTTTTTTTTAAACCAAAAGGGCAAAAAAGCTTCTGACGTAGCGATTTTCTTCTGACGCCGTTACTCCGTTAAAAAAATCAAAATCGCTGACTTGCCAGCGATTTTCTCCAATTTTTTTTTCCTCTTTTTAAGAACATCGTTGCCCGTGAAGCGTTTTGCGTGATTTTAAAAAAATAATAATATAAAATCGCTGCTATGACAACATTTTTATAAAAAAATAATTTTAAAATTAAAATTAGCATCGCTCCACAGGTAGCGATTTTAGTAAAAACAATTTTTTTTAAAATGCCAAGGCAGCGATTGTCACACCCCTTTTCGCGCACGGCGGCAAGAGTTTTTCCAATTTAAGTGATGGTATTGACTTAGGGATTATTTTATTTTTCGGAGTCGCCACTTGGAATTGAGTTGTGGTGTTCCAAGTCACCTTTTTGTTTAATCCCTAATCAAAGGAAATGACTCTTTGTTGGTCTGCGAACTAGAAATTCGGGTAAGAAATTCTGTTGACCGAGGGGAAGGTATTAGGCATCCATCGAGTCCCGTGGTTCTAGCACGGTCGCTTTTATTGACTCATACTTATTCTAAATTATTATTATTATTATTATTTTGGATACATTATTATAGGCCATGGTTTGCTTGTTTTTTTATTTGTTGAATTTTATTAGTCTGAACCTAGATGCGTAACCGCATTCTTGGTTTTGACATTTAGAGGCATAACTGTCTTTTTCTCTTAAGTACCTCACACCTAATAATCTCAGTTTGCACCTCTTGGTTTGAATTAATAAAAATTAATTATTAAAACAATTTGGCCAAGGTGCGTAACCGCATCCTTGAGAAAAATTAATTATTAAAATAATTTGGCCAAGGTGCGTAACCGCATCCTTGAGTTTTTTAATTATCTCAAAAAGATGTGGAACCACATTCTTAATTGAGATGAAATTTAATTACTATTGTTACATGAACTAACAAAGATAAAAAAAAAAAATTGTATATATTTTTTAATACATAATGTGTTATTCTTATAATGGTTGTCAATATACTACATTAAGAATATTTCCTTAAATATTAGAATAAATAGTTTGAACGTTCTAAAGATCTTCATTGTTTAGCGATATGTAAGATTCAAATAATTATATTTCAACATTATAATATCAAAATTAAACACACATAAAGTTCGAGCAATTTCATAACATTGAAGTCAAGTCTTATATAATCATCAAATAAACTATACAAAATTAAATTAAATTGAGTGTTACCTTTTACGAAAAGGAAACAATCCTAATAAGGAACCACAAACTCGAAATCACGAAAGTGAACCTCGACCTCACTTTTTACAAATTTCACGTGTGGCTTGGGTGTGTTGTAGTAGTGTAATTGGTGATGTAGGTGGGTGTTTGTATTTGGAAGAAAAAATGTTTTTGATCTTGTTTTCTTTTCCTTTCGTATTGCAGTGTTCTGCCTTCTTCTTTTTTTCTTTTTCTTTTTGTTGGTTTCTGTACGTTTTTTTTGTGGTGTTGTGCAGAATATAGGAAGGGTTGTTCTTTTTGAGGGGGAAGTGGGGGTGTGAGTGGAGTTGAGGAATTGGGATAATGAGGTGTAGTATAGGTGGGTTGGGGTAGTGGGTATAGGTTATTATTTTTATTTTTTTATAATATAATAATAAAAATATTAATTAATTGTTTTGAATTAATAAAATATAAGAAATGTCAAATAGCTAGTCTAAAAATATAATTAAGAAACACTAACTTATTTATTAAATCTAAATTAAAAGAAAATACATAGTTTATTTTTGTTATTTTCAAATCTTTTTAAAAATAAACTTTCTAAAATAAGGTAAAAGTCAAAATATTTAATTTAGATTTTTATAAAATATTTAAGCTCTTGAAATGGTGTAAGACCTTAAGTTCGGTCAAAAATTACGTGTCTACAGTAATTTTAGTGGAATTTTTTTTTTAAAAAATAAAAAATCTCTACTTGGCAGCTATTTTAGTAAAAAAATCATTTTTTTATTTTTTTATTTTAGAATTTTAGTAATTTTTATTTTTATTTTAAAAAAAAAGTCATTTCGCTGACTTTTTTGAGAAATCACTGCCACGACAAAAAAAAAAGATTATTACTAAAATCGCTGTGAAGGCAGCGATTTCTAAAAAAAAATTGTTTTTACTAAAATCGCTACGTGTGGAGCGATGCTAATTTTAATTTTTTTTTATATAAAAACATTTATTTTTTTAAAAAAAATATTCGTGAAAAACGCTGCATGGACAGCGATGTTTTTAAAAAAAAGGAATTTTTTTTTTGGACAAACTCGCTGGTAGGTCAGCGATTTTGATTCTTTTGACGGAGTAATTGCGTCAGAAAAAAATCGCTACATCAGGATCGTTTTTGCTCTTTTGGTTAAATTTTTTTTTTGATGTGCCCCTTTGAAATTTTTGGCAAATTTTTTTGCCCTTTAGGCTCCGGACTCATAATAAAAACGAGTGATAGAAGATAATGCGCAATAATGAAGATTTAATTATGTAGTACTCCCTTCTCCCATATTAGTTGATTATCTTATTAAAAATAATTGTCCATATTAGTTGTCACCTTACTAAATCAAGAAAACATTAATTAAAATTTTTCTATATTACCTAGCAATTAATTCTTTTTGAAAGTGTTTACATTTCTTTGTAAAATTTCAAGAAGTTTTTAAAAGGCGTGAATAGTAAAATTATTTTTTTATTTATGATTTCTTAATATGCGTGTAAAAAGAAAAATGATCAACTAATATAAAACGGAGGGAGTAATGAACTTGCACACTAATTAGTTTTATAACAAAATCAAATTGTTTATTTTTCACCTTTTCTTTTAAATCTCGGTATAAGGGTCTGAAAAAATACCCCAACTTTGGTCAGATTTGCTGTTGCGATACTAAACTTTCATAAGAACCTATTACATCCCTAGACTATTTAATACCGTATTTTTTACCCCTGAACTATTTAATAGTGTATTTTAAAGGTATATATGTATTCACGTGGACACATTACTATTTATAATCTTACATTATTTTTTATGTCCACGTGGACAAATATATATGTTTAAAATACAGTAATAAATAGTCTAGGGAGGTAATAGGTCCTCATGAAAGTTTAGTATCACAACAACAAATCCGATCAAAATTGAAATATTTTTCAGACCTTTATCCCTTAAATCTCCGATCAAAAGAAATGTACACATCAAATTGGAAAAATTGGAGGGATAATTTACACAAATTTATCATTAAATTATTATTATCATTATTTTAAAAAAAAACATAGGAGTAGTTTATTGTGTTCTTTTGTTTCTACTTACCAGTCACATTGGTTGCACAACTTGCGCACTCCCCATTCTTTCATCACTCCAACTATTACAACAATTAAAAAAAAATAAAAAAATCTATAGCAATAAATAAAATATTAAAAAAACCACAAAAATCTAATTTAACGTTTATATATTTATATATTTTTCATAATCTCAGAACATAAAACGTTAAATAAATTATTTTGTTTTGTAGTTCATAAGTGAGTCTCAATAATCCGAATTCCCTTAAAAAGGTAGTTGGCTGAAGTTTGTGGAATGGTAAGTAGCACGCACCAAAATCATTTAATGTACTATGGGGGTTGGTTCAGTCAATTTTTAACGATTTAGTTGATTGACTATTTGAACTTTGATATTTTTGGTGAGGGTTCGAGTATCACCTTATAATTAGGAGCGGAGCTTGTGAAGACCGAACCTATACCCAATAACTTCTGTTCAAATAATGTGTTTTGTAATATATACAAATATTAAATTTAGAACTTAATTATCAACACCAGAAATAGTTATTGTAAAATTCAGAGTTCATAAGATTAAAATTTTGATTTTCCCTATGCGAGTAATCACCTCTCCATTTCCCCTTCCCCTACTCCCAATTATTAAATTAAAATAAAATAAATACGTGGGACCCATTACTAATCCTAGGTGGCAGTGATGTGGACCAATCAACATACAGCTTTTTTGCTTATATTAAAGATGGAAGATCATTTGAAATTTTAAAGTGTAACTTGAAGTGTTTACCTTCACAATGGAGACACCGTTGCTGAATGGCTACTCCGGCGAACACAACCAGCTTGTTGGTGCGGACGGGGACTACCGTCCTGCAAAAAGTATTAAGGATTGGTGGGCAATTTTGTGCGTGGAGACATTGAAGCTGTGGAGAATAGGAGGTCCTATAGCATTCAACATAATCTGCCAATATGGAGTGAATTCCCTTACAAATATATTTGTTGGACATCTTGGAAATATTGAGCTCTCTGCTATTTCTATTGCTCAAACTGTTATTAGTACTTTCTCTTTTGGCTTCATGGTTAGCTCTCTCTTTCCCTTCTCATCTTATTTAAAAGCAGAACAACGTAGAACTGCAATAGCTTTTACTTTCCTTTTCTTATTGACTATCGGTACTAATTCAGATTCGCACCACATAGAATTCATAAGAGGACTAGGTGTTTCTCAAAACCTTTAATTCATCTTAAAAGGCAAATTATGTAGTACTAAAATCAACTCATCATGAATACAAGTGATTTATATAGTGGAACCAACTAAATTGGAATCCAATTATAGTAGTTGATTGATTGAACAGTTAATTGAGTCTCAGCTGTTGTTAATTTCCGAATTTCGTCTATGTTGCAGATGGGAATGGGGAGTGCGTTGGAGACACTATGTGGACAGGCATATGGAGCAGGGCAAGTTCACATGTTGGGCGTTTATATGCAACGATCCATCATAATCCTGCTTGCTACGTGTGTCTGTCTATTGCCCATTTACTTATTCACGACTCCAGTTCTCTTGTTGCTAGGCCAAGAAACTGCAATCGCGGAGCTCTCTGGAAGATATACCATGTTACTCATCCCCCAGTTGTTTTCACTTGCTATCAATTTCCCTACTTCCAAATTTCTTCAAGCTCAGAGTAAAGTGGATGTTCTCGCTGGGATTGGATTCGCGGCTGTGCTGATGCACGCTGTGTTCCTCTGGCTCTTTATATACACACTTGAATGGGGTACTAATGGTGCTGCTATAGCCTTCGATCTCACGAATTGGCTTACTGCGATAGCTCAATTAGGATATGTTGTTGGATGGTGTAAGGATGGGTGGAAAGGGTTATCGTGGGCAGCATTCAACGAGATTTGGGCATTTGTGAGACTTTCTATTGCTTCAGCTGTTATGTTATGCCTTGAGATTTGGTACATGATGAGTATTATTCTCCTTGTTGGCCATCTTAACAACGCCGTGATAGCAGTTGGATCCATTTCAATCTGGTGAGTACAGATAGATATGTTTAAGCTCGTTGAGTCAAGCTTGTTGTGCATCTATTGGTGAGATTTTCAAGTTCATTTCTGATTCGTGTTAAATTTTGTGTTTTACAGTATGAACATCAATGGATGGGAGAGCATGCTTTTCATTGGAATTAATGCTGCCATAAGGTAATATAAATATGTCTTGACGGTTAATAGAACAAGTAGTCATAGTGCTGTGGTAGTAGTTCGATGGTAGTATTATTTGGTTGTAGTATTGTTCTGTTACTATCTGTTGCTTTGTTTACTATATATTGTCTCTTTTGTATTTTCATTACGTCTTTTTAGTCTGTTTTTGTCTTGAGTCAAGGGACTATTGAAAACAGTCTCACTAGCTCACCTCTGAGGTAGAGGAAAGGTCTATGTACAGTTTACCCTGCCCAGACCCCACTTTGTGGGAATACATTGGATATTGTTGTTGTTGTTGTTGACTTGTTAATTTTCCAACAGCATCCGAGTCTCAAATGAACTCGGGCAAGGACATCCAAGAGCTACCAAATACTCAGTCTACATCACGGTGTTTCAGTCCCTCCTAATAGGGATACTCTGCATGGGAATTGTACTAGTAGCTAGAGATCATCTGGCCATTATCTTTTCAAACAGCAAGGAGATGCAAGAAGCTGTTGCTGATCTTGCTTACCTTCTAGGGATCACCATGGTTCTTAATAGTGTTCAGCCGGTTATATCAGGTATTGTTCTGCTTCAACATTTCTGTGTTTAATTATGGATCTAATACTGCTTCAGAACACCAATATAACGATATATTTATCGTGCTTTTTTTCATGCTTGCAGGGGTTGCTATTGGAGGTGGATGGCAAGCTTTAGTAGCTTATATCAATCTTGGTTGCTATTATGTTTTTGGACTCCCTCTAGGATATCTTCTTGGTTATGTAGCAAAATTAGGAACAAAGGTAACCAATATTTCTATGTTCTTGTTAGTTTAATGGAGTTGATTTATCAGATGATCACTCAACTAATAGTTATTATATCAGACAATCACTTTCTTTGTTCAAGAAAATTGGAAATCAACAAGAAAAAATGACTTTATGAGATAATAACTACGTATATTGTCACTTACACGAATCTCCTGCTGAATTGTGTTCGTTCGCATTGCTTCACTAACAGCTTTTAAATTATGTTACGCGTCGTGCAGGGACTTTGGTTAGGGATGATAGCAGGGGCAGCTTTGCAGACTCTTCTACTCTTGATTATACTGTACAAGACTAACTGGAACAAGGAGGTATGTCAAATGGCAAAAAATGTGCTGGTGGTATTTCATTCTTTTGCATATAACAAAATAAGAAGGCCTAAAATATTAAAACAAATAGAGTAGGTGATTTTGGTTTGGGATTTTTATAACCATGAAATTGACATACATGATGTTACTAGTACTAATATACTAGTATTACAAGTTGTGTCATAGTAACGAAAGTTGAATTACAGGTTAACGACACGACGGAGCGTATGCGCAAGTGGGGAGGTCAAGATTTTGAAACACAGAAATCTACAGATGGACAGTTAACTATTGAGAATGGTGGTGTAGCTTAAGTTTATGATTGATGGAAATATGTATTTTTCATGTTTATGTTTGAGTTGGAAACTTGCAAATCTGTTTCTTTTGTTATGGACTCGCAATAGAAATGTGGATTTTCAAATAGTACAATTATTTGTAAATTCTTTATATCCTTTTGTGGTAAAAGCCAAAGGTAAGAGACAAACTTAGTTTTCGGTTCGAGCACTGGAGCCCTTGATTTGGAGAAAATCTACTTAGGAGTGCCACCTCAGGGACGATTTGGATTTAGTCTAAGCTTCAATGCAGGCTCCAAACACTAAGCGAAAACCCAAAGAAAAAAGAGGTAATTAAAAGACCTAACACCGTTTATATGAATTGATGAAGGTTGGTGGACGTTATAAAAGACCTAACGCCGTCTTCTTAGAGGGTGTGGGAACACATAAATTAACAACACAAACACATGTTTATTATTTGTGGAGGCATTTACCAGTTTCACGTGCAAAGATCCCTATTTTTATACTTCGGGTGTGTTTGGTACGAAGGAAAATGCTTTCCATAGAAAATGGTTTCCTAGAAAATGTTTTCCTGAAAAACAAGTTGATTTTTGATTTATTTTCTCATGTTTGGTTGGTGAGTAGAAAATATTTTTCGGAAAAGATTTTTAGCATTTGATTTATAAATGAAAAATATTTTTTAAAAACAAACTTAAATTTTTTTTGGAGGGTGGGGCCTGGTAGGAGGTGGGTGGGGAGGGGTCGAGGGTTGGGGTGAAAAAATAAATTTTTGAAGTTGAAAGTATTCTTTAAAAACGTACTTAAATTTTTTTTTTTGGGGGTGGGGGGGTGCTGGTAGGGGGTGGGTAGGGGTGAAAAAAATTAAATTTTGAAATTGAAAATATTTTTGAAAAACAAACATAAAAATTATTTTTTTGGGGGCTAGTAGGGGTGGGTGGGTGGGGGGTCGAGGGTAGGGGTGAAAAAATGAAATTTTGAAATTGAAAATATTTTTTAAAAACAAACTTAAATTTTTTTTTTGCGGAGGGGGGGGGGGGGGGGTATGGTGAAAAGAATGAAATTTTGAAGTTGAAAATATATTTTAAAAACAAACTCAATTTTTTTTTTGGGGGGGTGGGTGATCGATAATCGAGATGAAAAAATAAAAATTTGAAGCTGAAAATATTTTTTAAAAACAAACTTTTTTTTTAAGGGGGTTGGGGGCTGATAGGGGGGCGAGGGTAGTGGGTGGGGGTAAAAAAATAAAAAATAAAAATTAGAAATATCTTTTAAAAACAATTTTTAATATTTTTTTGGGAGTGGTGGGGGTAGGGGTGAAGGTGGGTAAAAAAATTTAATTTAAAAACAAGCTTTAAAATTATTTTTTTTGCGGGGGTGGTTGGGGGGTTGGTTTGAGGGTAGAGACAAAATAAATTGATTTTTTCAACAAAGAAGTAATTGTAATTTGAAGTTGGAAGAGAGGTTTGGAAAATGTTTTCTTTAAGTTTTGAAGGGAAGTCATTTTCCTTAAATTTGAGGAAAATGAGTTGATTTAGAAAACATTTTACAAAATATTTAACCCAACCAAACATGAGAAAATTGAAAAATCCTTCCTACCAAACACACCCTTCATCTTTCTCAATTATGATTGGATAGGAAATTTATAAAGAATTTCTAAGTCTAGTTTAAGGATGTTAATTTGACTATGCACAAAATTTATGAAATAAGAAGAGACTTTTGGATCTTGTGATTTTAAATTTATCCCATACATATTAAAATTGAAAATTTACTAATTATGGGCAAAATATTTTTCTTTTGAAATAGACTAAAAAATTAAATTAGATTTTTTTTTTTTAATTTTATGATTTTAAACTTATCACATCAATATTAAAATTGGAAAATTTACTAATTATATGAAATATATTATTTTTTTTCTGAGACCGACTAAAAAAATTAAATTAGAACATAGGGATTAGGGAGTAACATATTTCTAAAACATGTTTCCTTAACTATGGTTTCAACCTTTTTTTGTTGTCCTTTTGAAATTTCAACTCAATTTTGTTGCCTTTTTAGCTCCGAACCCATATTTTACCCATGAATACCTATATTTTTATGGGTTAAATAACCCATATTATATCCATCTAAAAAGTCACTCACCTTATCCATTAAAATATGAGCAGATTGGACGGGTAATCAAAATATAAACTCATTTTACCGGCACTAATTGCACCCATGGTTAGCGCATGAGGAGCGCTTTTTTTATATTTATTTTTGTAAAAAAAGATTCATTTTCGCTACTTCTTCATTCTTTATCCCTACCACCTACTCTACCTTTCACCTTGAAAAATCTTGATGGAATACCTTACAAAATATGGAAGAACAAAATAAAAATCATTACACTAATTTTGATTTTTTTTTCATAAGAACATGAAAGAAAAATACACAAAAAAATTGAGTGAGAAATAGAAGAAGAATACTATTATTGGAATCTCTCCGAAAATCACTCTGGATAAACTAGTCTGTCAAACCAAATCTACAACAACAAAAAGAAAAGAGTGTAATAGTTAAAGAAACATTTTAAATTTGACACACTTTGTTTAAATAAACACTTAAATTATAAAAAGTCTTGACTACCCCATCAAATATGGATTTGTTGAATTATTTACCCCTAAATTATGAGAAGTCTTAATCACTCCCTCAAACAGATTTTTGAAACAATTTACCCCTAATATGCCACATGACACAAAAACATTACATGTTCAATTTATATGACCCAGTTTTTTTTTAGTCAATTCTAAAAGAACTGACACATAAAAAAGAGAATAACGTGGCTGAAATCATCACCTCATGGACAAAATAGTTTTACAAAACTAGATGAATTTTCAGATAACCCATATTGACATAAATATTTTTCTTTTCAAATGAAAATAACATAAAATTTGATAACATATTTAAACATTTTTCTGGCCTAGTTAAGGTATTGAAGTAAAAAGTGCCTTCAAGAAGCTGCTGATGGGTGGGCTAAAAAATGAAATGGGTAAAATATTTGGCACCTTTTCAAAAGATTGGATCTAAATAGAAAAGTTGTACCCGCCAAACACGTGCAATAAAATTATCCTATATAAGTTAAAATAAGTAAGAGTTGATTTGAATTGACTTAAAATTAATCAAATTTATTTTAAAGTTATTATTAATTTTTATAAATATTTGGTAAATTTAAAAATAACTTAAAATAATAGAAACACATCAAATTGGTTATTTCATAAAGTGGAATTTCTATTGTTACGTAACAACGAAATTTAACAATATAATATAATATCATATATTTTAAGTAATAATCAAAATAAACATCGTATGTATGATAACAATACAATACAATACAATAGCTAACACTGATCCAAACATAGTGATCAACTTAATATTTTATTATTATTTAGCTGTCTACCCGTTGAAAAAAATGAGATAAATACTCTAGCTTACAATAACAAGCGAGAAGTTAGAAGCAATTAGTCAGAGACCAGAGTAATGGATCAATCACCATTGCTAAATGACTTTTCCGGCGAGCACTGGCAGCTTATCGGCTCCGACGGTGACTACCGGCCCATTTCTAGCATGAATATGAATGAATTGTGGGATGTATTCTGGATTGAAACAGTGAAGCTATGGGAGATTGGAGGCCCAATTGCTTTCAATATCGTCTGTCAATACGGACTCTATGCTATCACTGTTGCTTTCTGTGGTCATCTTGGACCTACAGAGCTCTCTGCTGTTACCCTTGCTCAAACTGTCATCGGCACTTTCATTTTTGGCTTCATGGTTCGTCTTCGTCCTCTTTTTCCTTTTTACTCCCACTTCGTTATTAATGTGCATTTCCTAATACTGGTTGTACTCATTTTGTTTCAATTTGATTGTCTGATTTTGACTTGATAAGAATATCACGAAACTTTTGAATTGTATTGTTAAATCGGATTAGTATGCGAGGAATAATGGAGTAATTTTTTGAAAAGTGATACAAGATTGTTATGTACTGGTTCTGTTGGATGTGCAAACAAATTCCGCATTGGTAGTTGAAAACATTGGTTAATTGGGTAAAATCTGTGCGGGTTTGACCCAAAGCGATACAGTCTAGTTATTGTTATCAAATGTAATCTTATTTCACTTTCTATTTCGAGAAAGATATTAAATTAGTGGTCAGTAATGCAAAACTGTCATCTGTTCTTATGATCCCTTAGTCGTTTCTTATATGGGCATATGTAATCTATGTGTAGATAGGCATGGGGAGTGCTCTGGAGACGCTCTGTGGACAGGCATTTGGTGCTGGGCAAGTACACATGCTTGGAGTTTACACACAACGCTCAATGATAATTCTATTGCTGAGTACCTTCCTTCTCTTACCAATCTATCTTTTCGCAACTCCTATACTTAAGTTCCTAGGCCAAGATCATGATATTGCTGTTGTTGCTGGGAAGTTCGCCATGTTAACCATTCCCGAGTTATATTCCCTGTCTGTTAACATTCCCACTTCAAAATTTCTTCAAGCCCAGAGTAAAGTTGGTGTGCTGGCCTGGATTGGTTTTGTGGCTCTCGTACTCCATGCTATTCTCCTTTGGCTCTTCATTTATGTATTCAATTGGGGTTTGACCGGGGCAGCAATATCCTTTAATCTCGTAGGCTGGGTCAACGCACTAGCTCAATTTGCTTACGTAGTTTTTTGGTGCAAGGATGGATGGAAGGGATGGTCTTGGTCTGCATTCAATGAGATTTGGGCCTTTGTTAGATTGTCAATTGAATCGGCTGTTATGCTATGCCTAGAAACCTGGTATATGATGAGTATTATTCTCCTCACTGGTCATCTCAAAGATGCAGTTACTGCAGTTGGAGCCCTCTCTATTTGGTGAGTCTTGTGTCTTTTCCCATTTAATTAGCAATTTAGCATAAGATGGTTATTCAGCAATGCTTAAGCTTGTTAAAACGCAACCTAACATCCTGTCAGGGTACGCGAGTTGAGCTTAAACTGTGTATTTGATAGGCTTTAACAACTCAAACGGGCAATGGGAAGTTGGTTGCTACTTTTATTTGTGAATGAGACGAAATTTTGTGAGCTCGAGATTCATGTCAATTGTTGTAATCTTTCAGCATAAATGTCGATGGATGGGAAGCAATGTTTTTCATTGGAGTCAATGCTGCCATAAGGTAATGAAGTCCTAAAGCTTCACAAATGTGCACTTCATTTGTGTGTTAGTTTGAGTTAATGTATTGTTGTTTTCCCAGTGTTCGGGTCTCAAATGAGCTTGGGCTAGGACGTGCCAGGGCGACCAAATGTAGTGTTGTTGTCACAGTGTTTCAGTCACTTCTCATTGGGATACTCTGCATGATTGTAGTACTTGCATTAAGAAGTCATCTAGCCATTCTTTACACCGACAGCGAGGTTTTGAAACGATCTGTTTCTGAGCTTGCTTGGTTTCTTGGAGTAACAATGCTTCTCAACAGTGTTCAGCCTGTGATATCAGGTGTTGCTTTTATTAAATTGTTTCTGTTTCTAAGAGAGTTTTACTCCTCCATAACCCTCACAGTAATCGTATTGGGACCAACTTTTGCTTGTAGGTGTTGCTGTTGGAGGCGGATGGCAAGGTCTCGTGGCTTACATCAATTTGGGTTCTTACTACATTTTTGGTATTCCTCTTGGATATCTTCTTGGCTATGTAGCTAACTTCGGAGTCATGGTAAACAAACTTCCATTCTCAAAGCTTATATCTCATTCTCATACTATATGAAATGAGTAAACTCGCGATTTTGGATTTTCTCTTGAAGGGATTATGGGGGGGAATGATAGGTGGACTAGCTTTGCAAACACTACTACTCTCGATTGTACTCTACAGAATTGACTGGAATAAAGAGGTATGTGAACTAATGGTTTTTATCATCCAATTAAACTCCATAACACTTGATGTTCGATGTGGTCGATACAAGATAACTCTATAGACAACAAGTAGTAATGAGAAAATGGAAATGCAGGTTGAGCAGACGACAGAACGGATGCGAATCTGGGGAGGTCAAGACTTAGAAACAGAGAAAAACCTCCAAATCCCAAATTTCACAACGGCTTAATTAAGCACTGCGATCGACCCATAACATTCAAAAAAAACTTTATTACATGCCTAACACAGCTAATATTTTTGGGTCCATAAAATTTTGGGTTTACTTTTTTTATGTGATAAAAAGTTTCCACAGGCTGGAGTCTGGACTTACATAAAGTCAGCAAATGACAATTTTATTATTTTAGAATATATTAGAATATGAGTGGGGTAGGAATGCATGTGACTACTACATTTTTTATTTTCTTCAAATATGTTGTCTTTTTCTCTGAATTATTTGGAATGTCAAGTCATTATCTTCAAAGATTATTAGTAGAAGATCCTTCATCATATAAACAAATTTGTGAAAGGACCATCATTTCTTCCATGTTTGAGTTGGACACTTGCAAAAGGTTTGCAATAAGTAGTTAAAAGTTACCAGTATCATAATTTTGACCCAAGTGGATTCCTCAAGATTTTTATTCTTTTCCCTTTTTAAATTTTCATTACCAGCCAATTTTGTTTCCCGATAAAACAATGTAATAAATTGATGAAATACAAACTATATGGTTTTCGCTTTACGGCGTAGAGAGTGGCTTTAATGCCAAAGGTTAGACTTCATAATACTAAAAGGAAAAGTCTTTATGGTCGGAATGATTTTTTTTCTATGTTATTTTATCTTTTTAAATATTTTTACTCTTTTAACTTTAATACATTTTAACTAAAAAATGGAAAAAAGGTCAATTTGTTTTTAAATTAAAAAAATATTATATATTTTTTAATTTTCTAGCCAAATTCTGGCCAAATTTTCTGGCCATTTAGCACTTGATCAAATATACTTTTTCTGTTTTATATACGGTCATTCTTACTAAAAATAAATGTTCTTTAATATTTGTCATTTTATTAAAATAATATTGTTTTTCCTTGAGAATTATTAGTTTTGGAATTTTGTATTTGACCAACACTGAAACTAAGTATTCCCTCTGTCCCATTTTATATGTCCTTAGATTCTATCATTTTACTATAATTGGAAATAATTTAACTAAAAAATTCTCTTTTTACCCTTGATGAAATAATTTACAATCATACAAATATTCAATGATTATTTTAGATAACAAATTTTAAAAATCTTACTTTTTTTAAAAATAATGTCAAATCAAACAGTATCACATAAAATAGAATAAAGATAATAATTAATTTATATTTATTGATTAAATTAATTAATTAAAAATACAATTTCTTAAAAGACATAAAACCTAAACATAATCATTGCTGTTAACATTCCCACTTCAAAATTTCTTCAAGCTCAGAGTAAGTTGGTGTGCTGGCCTGGATTGGTTTTGTGGCTCTCCTACTCCATGCTCTTCATTTATGTATTCAATTGGGGCAACTATATCACTTAATCTTGTAGGCTGGATCAACGCACTAGCTCAATTTGCTTACGTTGTTGTTTGGTGCAAGGATAGGTGGAAGGGAGGGTCTTGGTCTGCATTCGATGACATGTGGCCCTTTGTTAAACTGTCAATTGAGTCGGCTCTTATGCTCCTGGTATCCGATGAGTATTGTTCTCATCGCTGGATGTCTCAAAGATCCTGTTACTGCTGTTGCATCCCTCTCTATTTGGTAAGTCTTGTGTCTTTTTTTCCCCCATAGATTGTTCTGCATTCAATCAGGATTTGATTGACTTGAACAACTGATCAAACAAATCAATTTTTTTGACATCGGCAAGAAATGTTTTTTATCGGAATCATAAGGTAATGAAATCCTAAATCTTGCCATTTGGATGAATTTGTGTTGATGTATTGTTTTTTTTCCCCCAGTGTTCGGGTCTCAAATGAGCTTGGGCTAGGACATGCTATAGTGTCTATGTCACACTATTTCAGTCACTTCTCATTGGGATTCTCTGCATGAGTGTAGTATTGGCAGTAAGAAATCATCTTGCCATTGTTTTCACCGACAACGAGGTCTTGATTAAATCATCTTGCTCAGTTTCTTGGAGTAACAATGCTTCTCAACCTGTAATATCAGGTGTTGCTCTTTAATTACATTGTTCTGTTTTTATAGCTAAGAGAGCTTTAGTACTCCTCCATAGTCCTCAGTCCTCAGAATGATCTTTTTGTGTTGCTGTTGGAGGTGGGTGGCAAGGGCTAGTGGCTTACATCAATTTGGGTTCTTACTACGCGTTTGGACTCCCTCTAGGATATCTTCTTGGTTATGTAGCAAAATTAGGAACAAAGGTAACCAATATTTCTATGTTCTTGTCAGTTTAATGGAGTTGATTTATCAGATGATCACTCAGCTAATAGTTATTATATCAGACAGTCACTTTCTTTGTTCAAGAAAATTGGAAATCAACAAGAAAAAATGACTTTCTGAGATAATAACTACGTATATTGTCACTTACAGGAAGCTCCTGCTGAATTGTGTTCGTTCGCATTGCTTCACTAACAGCTTTTAAATTATGTTACGCGTCGTGCAGGGACTTTGGTTAGGGATGATAGCAGGGGCAGCTTTGCAGACTCTTCTACTCTTGATTATACTGTACAAGACTAACTGGAACAAGGAGGTATGTCAAATGGCAAAAAATGTGCTGGTGGTATTTCATTCTTTTGCATATAACAAAATAAGAAGGCCTAAAATATTAAAACAAATAGAGTAGGTGATTTTGGTTTGGGATTTTTATAACCATGAAATTGACATACATGATGTTACTAGTACTAATATACTAGTATTACAAGTTGTGTCATAGTAACGAAAGTTGAATTACAGGTTAACGACACGACGGAGCGTATGCGCAAGTGGGGAGGTCAAGATTTTGAAACACAGAAATCTACAGATGGACAGTTAACTATTGAGAATGGTGGTGTAGCTTAAGTTTATGATTGATGGAAATATGTATTTTTCATGTTTATGTTTGAGTTGGAAACTTGCAAATCTGTTTCTTTTGTTATGGACTCGCAATAGAAATGTGGATTTTCAAATAGTACAATTATTTGTAAATTCTTTATATCCTTTTGTGGTAAAAGCCAAAAGGTAAGAGACAAACTTAGTTTTCGGTTCGAGCACTGGAGCCCTTGATTTGGAGAAAATCTACTTAGGAGTGCCACCTCATGGACGATTTGGATTTAGTCTAAGCTCCAATGCAGGCCCTAAACACTAAGCGAAAACCCAAAAAAAAAAAGAGGTAATTAAACAAAATTTGTATAGCACAAGTTTAATTATTTTTTTGTTGTTTTTACATCTGGAAAATCCGAAGAAAATTCTTCCACAAGATTATATGAATTGATGAAGGTAGGTGGACGTTATAAAAGACCTAACGCCGTCTTCTTAGAGGGTGTGGGAACACATAAATTAACAACACAAACACATGTTTATTATTTGTGGAGGCATTTACCAGTTTCACGTGCAAAGATCCCTATTTTTATACTTCATCTTTCTCAATTATGATTGGATAGGAAATTTATAAAGTATTTCTAAGTCTAGTTTAAGGATGTTAATTTGAATATGCGCAAAATTTATGAAATAAGAAGAGACTTTTGGATCTTGTGATTTTAAATTTATCCCATACATATTAAAATTGAAAATTTACTAATTATGGGCAAAATATTTTTCTTTTGAAATAGACTAAAAAAATTAAATTAGAATTTATTTTTTTTGAATTTTGTGATTTTAAACTTATCACATCAATATTAAAATTGAAAAATTTACTAATTATATGAAATTTTTTTTTTTTTGAGACCGACTAAAGAAAATTAAATTAGAACATAGGGATTAGGGAGTAACATATTTCTAAAACATGTTTCCTTAACTATGGTTTCAACCTTTTTGTTATTGTCCTTTTGAAATTTTAACTCAATTTTGTTGCCCTTTTATCTCCGAACCCATATTTTACCCATGAATATCTATATTTCTATGAGTTAAATATGAGTATAAACCCATATTTTATCCATCTAAAAAGTCACTCACCTAATCTATTAAAATATGAACAGATTGAGTGGGTAACTAAAATATGAACTCATTTTACCGGCACTAATTGCATCCATGGTTAGCGCATGAGGAGCGCTTTTTTTTATATTTATTTTTGTAAAAAAAGATTCATTTTCTCTACTTCTTCATTCTTTATCCCTACCACCTACTCTACCTTTCAACTTGAAAAATCTTGATGGAATACCTTACAAAATATGGAAGAACAAAATAAAAATCATTACACTAATTTTGAATTTTTTTTCATAAGAACATGAAAGAAAAATACACAAAAAATTTGAATGAGAAATAGAAGAAGAATACTATTATTGGAACCACTCCGAAAATCACTTTCGATAAACTAGTTTGTCAAACTAAATCTACAACAACAAAAAGAAAAGAGTGTAATAGTTAAGAAACATTTTAAATTTGACACACTTTATTTAAATAAACACTTAAATTATAAAAAGTCTTAACTACTCCATCAAATATGGATTTGTTGAATTATTTACCCCTAAATTATGAGAAGTCTTAATCACTCCCTCAAACATAGATTTTTGAAACTATTTACCCCTAATATGCACATGACACAAAAAAATTACATGTTCAATTTATATGACTCAATTTTTTTTTAGTCAATTCTAAAAGAGCTGACACATTTAAAAAGAAAATAACGTGGCTGAAATCATCACCTCATGGACAAAATAGTTTTACAAAACTAGATGGATTTTCAGATAACCCATATTGACATAAATATTTTTCTTTTCAAATAAAAATAACATAAAATTTGATAACATATTTAAACCTAGTTAAGGTATTGAAGTAAAAAGTGCCTTCAAGAAGCTGCTGATGGGTGGGCTAAAAAATGAAATGGGTAAAATATTTGGCACCTTTTCAAAAGATTGGATCTAAATAGAAAAGTTGTACCCGCCAAACACGTGCAATAAAATTATCCTATATATAAGTTAAAATAAGTAAAAGTTGATTTGAATTTACTTAAAATTAATCAAATTTATTTTAAAGTAATTATTAATTTTTATAAGTGTTTGGTAAATTTAAAAATAACTTAAAATAATAGAAA